ACCAAGGTATGTCCTTCCGCCAAAGCCGATGGCCGAGGGGGTCAAGGACACGGACACTCGGGGTCGGGTGGGAGCGAAGCTCATCCGAAAGCATCCGGGGGAGGACCTGGGAGCTGAGTTCAGACACAGCCCCTCCTCGAGCACCGGCTCCAGCCCGACATGGAGGTGACGGAGGGTGTGAGCCCAGAAAACGCCCTTCCCGTGGAGGAAGCATCACGTCTGATGGGGGTCCTGTGCCCTGGGCACTCACGTGGGCCCCGCATTTCCGGGTCGGGCCTGGGCTGGGCACTCACGCGGGCCCCGCACACTGCGATGGGCAGAGCTCCGCTGAGGCTCTGCCCTGCCCCGGGGAGGAGTGTGGGCTCCCGCTCACCTGGGGAGCAGGTGGTCAGGGTCCGGACCGTGTCCTGACCCGTCACTGGCTCTGTCCCTCTGCCAGTGCCCCGTGCTGTCCCTCCCGGACGTGGTGAAGGGCCTCTTCGTGTGCTGCGTGTTCCTGGACTACGTGTCCCTGTCGCAGAGGTTCATCCCCGAGCTGGTCAACTTCCTCCTGGGCATCCTGTACATAGCCACCCCCAACCAGCCAGGCCCAGGTGAGCCGCCGCGGCCGTGGCCGGGGTTGTACTGGGGCTTAGAAAGCGCTAGAAGGAAGCCATGCTCATTGTAGCAAGTGTGGGGTATGGAAGAGGGGGCGGAAGACAGGCATTGCAAGTCCTCCCGCCCGGAGTAGCGCCCTGTTCCGGGTGCGGGCGTGGAAGAAATCGGGACGCTCTGCCCGCGGTGGCCAGAAGCCGCACGGGGCGGGTCTGACAGACGTGCCCGAAGTCAGGCTCACCCAGGCAGCCGCGACCCAGCCTGAAGTAGTCTCAGCTTTACGTTGATGTGTTGAAATATTTCCCTATTTGGGGCTAAGTAAAACACAGCGAAGATTTATCTTACTTTTTTACGTGGCAACAAGCACGTGCTGGCGCGCTCCCGGGCTCCGCTGCAGGTCCGCTGGGCAGCGCGTCCAAGGGGTTCCGCGGGGTTCCGCGTCTCCCGGACTGGGGGAGAGGTTTCTGACGAGGAAGTGCCCCCATTGGTCCTGCTCTGTTCTCACCTCCACTCCCTCCCGGGCTTCCTGCATCGCCGCGTCCCTCCTGCGGGGAGCCCGGCAGCCTTGCCCCTCGCTCGGTCCTGTCAGTGCCCACTGTACTCTCGCTCTCCCTCCCGACCTCACAGTGACGGTCCTGGGTCCTGCCTGTGCTGCTCCCTGGCTGCCCCGCCGCCACGCTGCGTGCTCCCGTGGGCCGGCAGGCAGGGCTCGGGACACACTCACGCCCCAGGAATCGGTCAGGCAGCAACTGCGGTCAGGGCGAGTGTAGGGTGCGCTGGGCACGGGCCCAGCCGCGGGATGCCTGCTGTGGCGCCTCACCCCTCTCCGTGTACCCGCCGCCCCTTGCTTTGCCGGGCCTCCCTGCAGGCTACTCCCTCTGATGCTCTTCTGGGTGATGACGGGTGAGCCCTGCACACCACAGGGTCCTCCCCAGCCTTCGCCTGTGGGACAGCCTCTGACCTGGTGAACTCTGCAGCCCCCCACCCAGCACTCCCGACAGACCCCTCGTCCTCCTCGGCTTTGTCACCGTCCCTCACGTTCAGTCCAGTTCATTCTTACGGCCTGCCTCCCGCCAAGGCCGTCCCCTGACTCCGCGGTACAGCCGTGTGTTTGTGAAGAGTGAGCCTGATACTCAGAGGCGCTCTGTCCCGTCCCCTCGCATCCAGGTTACACTCTGGTGCACCCGTTCCGACCCCTGGGGAGGAACTCGGAGCTGCTCGTGGTGTCTGACGAGGGGGACGCGGCCACGTGGCGGAGGAGAAGCCTGTCCCTCCACTGGGCAAGCGCACGGCACGCCCAGACCGAGACGGAGGCCAACCACACCAGGTACGTGTGGGCGGCCTCAGTGCCACCCAGATCCCGGACCCCGAGCGGGCCCGCGTCATCTCTGCAGGTGACAGGACCTTATGTGTAGAAAGCTATCAGCTCTAATAACTGAATTTAACAAAGTTTGCAAAAATCAGTGGCATTTTTGTCCTAACAGTCACCTGTGTGAAAGGAAATTGCCAACAGTTCCCCATACAGTAGCATCAGGAAGAAGGAAATACTCTATTTTATTTAACCTTTAGAGCAGTGGTTCTCAACCTTCCTAATGCCGCGACCCTTTAATACAGGTCCTCATGTTGTGGAGACCCCCAACCATAAAATTATTTTCGTTGCTACTTCATAACTGTAATGTTGCTACTGTTATGAATCGTAATGTAAATATCTGATATGCAGGATGTATTTTCATTGTTACAAATTGAACATAATTAAAGCATAGTGATTAATCACAAAAACAATATGTAATTATATATGCGTTTTCCGATGGTCTTAGGTGACCCCGGTGAAAGAGTTGTTCGACCACCAGAGGGGTCGGGACCCACAGGTTGAGAACCGCTGCTTTAGAGGAACCTGCATGTCTGCGCAGTGGCCGCACAGTCTGCGTTCCCACCAGCAGTGCACGAGGACCCAGGTCCACTAGGGCCTGGCCAGCGCTGGCTTTGTTGTTGAGTAGCCACTGCTGCCATCCTAACCAGTGGGAGGCGGTGCCTCGCGTGGCTCGGTTTGCGTTTCCCTGGTGGTGAGTGAGGCTGCGCCTTTCTCGCGCCCATTGGCCACCTGTATGTCCTCTTTAGAAAAATGTCTGTTCAAGTCCTGATGGCATTATTTCCATGAAAAAAACCTTCCCACAGTATTATTTTCCGAATATATCTGCTTGACCTTGTAAACAGTAATTCAAACCCTAAACCAGGGCCCGCTGCTGGTGGCCACGGCATTCCCCCGGCATGGCTGCTCCCCTGCTCTGTGTAACCTCGTTGGCTGCGGCCATGCTGGGTGTTCAGAGTGGAGTGTTGGCTTGAATTCTTGCCCCATCCATTGCCTGTCGCCCTGAAGTTGGCTGTCGCCCCGCAGGCTGTCCTGCCTGGCCGTGTGTCTGGCTCTGGTGAAGCGCTGTGTGCTCCTGTACGGCGCGCTGCCCGCCTTCCACGACATCACGCGGCCCCTCAGAGCCCTCCTGGCACAGCACCTGGCCGGCAGCAGCCACCCCCACGAGCTGCAGGTGAGGCTCCCCGAGGACGCGGCCCAGCTCAGCCCGTCCCGTGACCGGGGCAGGTTAGCGGGCACTTTGGTCCTTGGCTGCACCCCTGGAAGTCAAGGGCACTGTGTTTGCAAATGAGAAACTCGAATGAGAAGCTAAGTCAGTGCTGAGAAACTCCGAGAAATAACTGCTGCTGCACGGAGGCTGACCTGGGGTTTAAGCTGAGAACTTTGTCACGTCCCCTTCTGCCTGCCCACTGCCCACCAGGGCCTGGCACCCGTCCCTCCCAGACCACACACTCTGGCCTCCTCACTCGGGGACTGCATTGTACGGCATGGCCACCCCCGCGCATGCTGTCATATCTCTGCTCCCAGGAAAGTGGCCCGAGAGGACATCCTGTCACCCTGCGGGAGGTGGATGCAGTGGCCCATCTCCTTAGTTGAAGCGCACCCTGGGCTCTGCTCCTGCAGATTCTGGCAAGCCACGGGGTCAGGGGGCCGGGGGGGGACCTGTGAGCTCGGGGGCACTGCACGTCGTACCTTGCACGTGGTCCCCACGGAGCCGGGGCATTTGGCCCCCAGAGGTGAACCTCCAGGCGGGCAGGGGTGGCTGTGCCTGCGGTGCAGGAAGCCTGAGTTCCGGGACACACCTGTGCGTGGGGAAAAGGAAGGGACGCACATCAGCAGGCCGCCTTCTAGAGAGCTCGGCCGACTCCTGGCAGCGCAGGCTGCAGGTTCTTCCGTTGGAATGAAAGTGACGTCAGATCACAAAGACTGGTCCTGCTCGTGCCGCGGAGGCACGCGCTGCAGCTTCTCTGAGGAAAAGAATAACCCGTCCTGGGCTCGGGGCTGGCAGCACAGGCTGCCTTCCTCCCAAGTGCCTGTCATGCCTGTCGGACGCCCTGCACTCGGTCTTCGGGTCTGCAGCCCCGCCCCCCCATCAGCAAGGTGCCGCTTCCATCAGGGCTCCCACCTGCCAAGGGCCATCTGCCCATCCCCAGGCCATACAACAATTTCAACTGAAAACCAGCTGCTCTATTTGGTCAAACGTTTCATTAATTCTCCCCGAATGCCTTGGCAGGGCCAGACCAGGTGATTTCTCGTGTCTCTCATGATCCGTGGGCCAGACGTTCCCCACCCCTTTACTTAGCAGATGAGGGAAGGCCTGGGGGAGGGAAGGAGGTCCCTCCCTGCCGCCTCTGAGGCCGCAGAGCCTCCTGGAGGAGCTGGAGAGGCCGCCGCGGCCATCACAGCGCGGTTCCTGTGCAGGAGCTGTGTCGGAGCGCGCTGGCCGATATGGAGGCCCAGGAGAGGCGCTACCAGCCCCTGGTCTGCGAGAGGAGCAAGCCTGTACCCCTGAAGCTGTTCACCCCCCGGCTAGTCAAAGTGTGAGTGCAGCTGCCTCCGCAGGGCCTTCCATGGAGGGCCCGGGTCAGGGTGTGGGTGGGGGCACCCCAGCCCCCCAACACAGCCCCCCAGCCCCCAAGGGGTCAGGGTGTGGGTGTGGGCCCAACTCGCTGGCTCTGCTCTTAGGCTGGAGTTTGGAAGGAAGCAGGGCAGCACCAAGGAGGAGCAGGAGCGGAAGAGGCTGATCCATAAGCACAGGCGGGAGTTCAAGGGCGCGGTGCGGGAGATCCGCAAGGACAACCAGTTCCTGGCCCGGATGCAGCTCTCGGAGATCATGGAACGGTGAGGCCACTGCCGCGGGCGTTGGGAGCCTGCGGGCTATGTCCCCTGCTCGCCCTGTGCACATACGTCCTCCAAAAACTAATCCCAAACTGGGCTTTTTCTCCTTAGGGATGCGGAAAGGAAGCGCAAAGTGAAGCAGCTTTTCAACAGCCTGGCTGAGCAGGAGGGTGAATGGAAGGCTCTGAAGAGGAAAAAGTTCAAAAAATAAACGGTTTTTATCTTGGCAGAGAGACACTGATGTCTTTCCTGGACTTCAGCTCCCATTTCAGCGTCTCCTGAACGCGCTCTGGACCTGGGCAGCGCTCCCTGAGAGCACGTGCTGATGAACGAACTAGTTGGTCCGCCGAGTTCAGACGAACTGTCAGTCACGGTCTGGGACTGAAGGGATCTGGCCGGTCATTTTTGCCTTTGTGTATAGAGTGCAGTGTTATTTCACATTACAAGTTATATTTTCAATGATAAAGTAAACAAGTTTGCAAACAGTTTAGAAATCAGAGAAGGAAAAAAATCACCCTCAACCCCAGCACCACGACAGGCAGTCCCTCACTCAGTCTGCCTGGCGCTCTCCAGGGCCCAGTCTCGGTTCTGGGCGCTGAGCCGCTGGGACGTCTGCACTGAGCTGGGAGGCTGAAGACATGGAGGTTGTGGTTAAGGTCACAAACTTGTAAGTTAAACAGCAAAGAGCAGCCCTCCCATCCCCTGCACTAACCAGGAGCGTCTCAGGAACGCATGACGCCGTGCCGTTGGCTGGCCCCACGGGCTGTGGCTGGGGAGCGGAGCACAGGGGCCCAGACGAGGGCTGTTCTTAGCGTTTTGATAGGAACACTGCGTAGCTCCAGCCCACCTGCCCTCTGACATGAGTGTTGAGGCAGGTGACCGGTCTCAGGTGTGAAGGTCAGAGGCTACAAAAGGGGGAGCATGGCTCAGTGGGGAGATATCAGCCAAAGGTACCTAAGGGGGGACATCGAGTCTTTGGGGAAAGAGCTGATGGGTTTTCATTTGTTGCAGGTGGAACAGCTGTGTATTACGCATAAGTGTAACTACTATTTTTGTGATCTGGGTGTCCTATATAGTAAAAGGCTAATAGGCAAATCGCCCCACCGGTGGCTATGTCACGCACTGACCACAAGGGCAGAGCGCTCCCACAGGGGCATTGCTCAGTGCCGGGGTCCAGCCCCAGCGGTCCAGGGGCTCCCAAAGGTGTGGACGGAGTCGGCAAAGAATGATTTACACGGAGACAGCGTTCAGGTGATCAGCATAGCTCTCTTTAGTCTCCGTGGCTCTCCCCTGTGCCTGGCTGAGGCCACAGAGAGATCCAGAGGCAAGCTGAGCCTTTATTTTATAGCCAGAGGTAAACAAGGTAGTGGTCACCATAGTTACACTGTTCTTGTGAGTTTCACTTGTTTTGGCGCACACTTGCTGCACCTCCCTCAGCCCATTAGCTTCCCAGATAAGATCTAGGGAGCGACCTAAGGTCCAGCCTAATTATGCTAAGAGGACTGTGCCCTCTAAGCTGGGACTTGTTTGTGACTTTGCCAACAGGTCAGTCCGAGGCTTAACCCTATAGCGGCGCCCCACAGCTCAGCCAGAAGCCAGGCTCATGGGGGGGGGGGGGGGGGGGGGGGGGGGGAAGGCCACAAAAGCGCTAAGGATATTGGTTAAGATAACCACTGGCCGCCGGAAAAAATTTCCCGGGGGGGTTCCGGAATTGAAGAGGGGGGCGGGGTGGGGAATCCCTCCCCCCCCCCCCCCCCCAAGGGGACCCTTCGTTGTTTATCGGGGGGGGTGGGGTGAGGGAATTGGGGTTCCTATCCTTTATGGTTTGGGGAGAAAAATGGGCTAAATCCCCCCCCCTATTTCAAAGGGGTGGAGAAACACGATGAGAATTAGGAATAAAAGAGGAAAGGGGAGGTGTTCGAGGCAGGCGGGAACCAAAGGTGCTCTCATACGGGGGCTGGGGACCTCGATTGAGGCCTTCCAACCCACATCACGCGGCCGC